CTACGTCTCCAAGGCTTCGATATTTTTAGAACTCAAAGCAGGGCAACTCTACACCCATTGTTATTGAACACCTTGAATTTTTTTTTAATTATAAATATATATATATATATATATACATATATGCAATTTAGTCTAAAATTTTATATTGAATATTCTAACCCACTTTCTTGAACACCCACCATAGTTGAACACCCAACCAGTTCACTTTCTTAAACACTCAACTCAACTCAACTCAACCCAATCCAATCCAATTCATAATCCTTTAATCAATATATATGATTTGTGACACATGGTATGTTTTGGAGTTTTGCTTTTTCAGTCTGTGCAAAGTTTCTTGTTGACAAAATTGTGTGATTTTGCAATTCTCAACAAGTGTATCACCTAAATGTGTTAATGTTGATCAACAGTTTTATTTCAATTTGAATTAAAGGAGTTTTTCTCTTCTTCTTCTTCTTCTTCTTTTTTTTTTTTTTTTTCTTTTTGGCAAAAAAAAAAAAAAATAGTGGAATGTAAGAGGGCTGGGGAGGCCAGAAAAAAGGGGAAAAATAAAAAGCTTGGTGAGGGAGAGAAGTGTTGATGTGCTCTTTCTACAGGAGACTAAAAGAAGTTCTATGGATGATAATTTTGTGAAAACAATCTGGCCTTATGAAGAAGTGAAATTTATGGTGGTTGACTCTGAGGGTAGTGCAGGAGGCCTCATAAGTATTTGGAAGCCACAAGTCTTCAAGCTCCAGGATTGTTGCAGTAGCAAAAATTTCATTATTCTATCAGGTATGTCTAGTAATACTTTTCAGTGCACTCTGGTGAATATCTATGCTCCTAATGAGGTTATAAGGAGGAGACAACTGTGGGATTCTCTGGTGAGGATTCAGCAACATTTTCCAAACCCGTGGTGTGTGGGAGGAGATTTTAATGAGATTAGATACATGGGTGAGAGGAAAGGTTGTTCATCTAGAGAAAGAGGGATGAAGGATTTTAATGAGTTGGTGGAAAAATTGGAATTAACAGATATGCCTTTGCTTGGAAGGCAGTATACTTGGTGCAATGCTCTGGATGGGAATAGGTGGAGTAGGATTGATAGATTTCTGTTAGACTTGAAGTGGATGGAAAAGTTTTCTTTTAAGCAATGGGGGCTACCTAGGTCAATTTCTGACCACTGTCCAATCTTGATTAAGGAGGATGATAGGGATTGGGGTCCAAAACCTTTTAAATTTATAAATGCCTGGTTATCTCATAAATCATTCATGTCAGAAGTCAAAAAGAGGTGGGAGGAAGCCCAAGTTCAAGGGTGGGCGGGGTTTAGAGTGATGAAAAAACTGAATATGCTAAGGAGTCACTTAAGGATATGGAATAAGGAGGTGTTTGGCAATATAGATACTCAGTTAAAGGCAGCAGAGGAGGAGCTACATGAATGGGATTTGAAGGCATAGTCTAGGTCCCTTGAAGTTCAGGAACTCAAGCGAAGAAGAGAAGTTAGAAGCCAGGTGTGGCAGCTCAGTAGGAGTAAGGAAAGGTTATGGCTTCAAAAGTCTAGACAGGTATGGGCTCTCTCGGGGGATAAAAATACTAGGTACTTTCACATTATGGCCAGTAGAAGACAGAGGAAAAATTTGTTAGACTCTGTTGTTGTGGAGGGTCAAAGGGTGGAGGATCCAGTACAGGTGAAACAAGAAGTAGCTAGGCACTTCCGTGTGTTGTACTCTGAGGAGTGGGTGGTAAGACCCAAAATCCTAGGCCCTTTTGCAGTTATTAGTGTTGTGGAGGTCGGCAAATTGGAAAGCGAGTTCTCAGAAGAGGAGGTATGGAACGCAGTAAAAGATTGTGATGGGAACAAAGCGCCAGGCCCAGATGGTTTTAATCTGAAGTGCATTCAACAGTGCTGGTCTATATTGAAAGGGGAGATATTACAAGTGGTGAATGAATTTTACCAAAATGGTAAATTGTCTGGAGGGATCAATAGTTCTTTCATTACACTGATTCCGAAAAAGGATAATCCAGTAGGATTGGGGGATTATAGACCTATAAGCCTGGTTAGCTCGGTCTATAAAATTTTGGCAAAGGTGCTATCCAGTAGACTGAAGAGAGTTCTGCCATCGGTGATTAGTGAAGTACAGTCTGCTTTTGTGAGTGGAAGGTACATTTTAGATGGTGTGTTAATAGCCAATGAAGTAGTAGATGCATGGAAGAGATCAAGAAAGCAAGGAATTATCCTAAAACTAGACTTCGAAAAAGCTTATGACTCAATCAGTTGGGAGTTTCTGTGGTCGATGTTGAAAAACTTTGGTTTTGGAGAGAAATGGATAAGCTGGATGAGGACTTGTGTTTCTACAACCAAGGTGTCAGTTTTGGTTAATGGTTCACCCACAGTTGAATTTCAACCTCAGAAGGGACTTCGGCAGGGAGATCCCCTTTCACCTTTTCTGTTCATTATTGCAGCAGAAGCTCTCAATCTACTATTGGGTAGGGCAGTGGGGTTAGGTCTGTTTAGAGGTGCCTCAGTAGGGGGTAATGATCTGCGAATTTCACATCTACAATTTGCAGATGATACAATAGTGTTTTGTGAAGGTGGTATGGAGGAGCTACTAAATATTAAGAGGGTGTTAAGGTGTTTTGAAGTGATGTCTGGTTTGAAAATCAATTATCATAAGAGTGTTGTATGCGGTGTGGGCTTTCAAGAAGAGGAAATTTTGGGTTTCGCCAAAACACTGAATTGTATCTCTAAGAAATTACCTTTCACCTTTTTAGGTATGCCTCTAGGGGCCAATCCCAAGAGGAAGAGCACTTGGAGCCCAATAGTGGACAAGGTGAGAAAGAAGTTGTCTTCATGGAAAAGAAAACTACTCTCTTTTGCTGGGCGTTTGACCCTAATTAAATCAGTTCTCTCTAATTTACCTATCTACTTTCTCTCCATGTTCAAAATGCCTAAGGGGATTGTTAAGGCTTTGGTCAAGATTCAGTCCAATTTTCTGTGGGGTGGATCAGATACAAAGAGGAGTGTTCACTTGGTAAGTTGGGGTGAGGTAACAAAAAGCAAAAATCAAGGGGGTTTGGGGTTGAGGGATGTGGGGGAGATGAATGAGTGTCTGTTGCTAAAATGGTGGTGGAGATATGGTGCAGTGGATAAAGCCTTGTGGAAATTGGTGATATGCTCAAAATATGGCAGATTTGGAGGGGGTTGGGTGCCTTCTTTAGAAAGCACAGATGGGGCGTCCACTGTGTGGAAAGATATAGTGCAGTTAAAATCAATCAACCCGCTTATGGGTGAATTCTATGAACAAAACCTGAAGTTATCAGTGGGAGATGGGAAGAGGATTCTGTTTTGGTTAGATGCTTGGCATATTGGTAGAACTTTGAAGGAGGATTATCCCAGATTGTATAGTCTATCCACTGAGAAGGAAGAAACCTTATCGCAAATAAGTGCTAAAAAGAGTCTAGGAGTGTGGCAATTGCATTTTAGAAGAAGACTGCTAGCTTGGGAGGAAGCGGAAGTAAAGAGGCTGTCCAGATTTTTGGAAACATCTCCAGTACTCAGGGAGGAAATTGAAGATTCTTGTTCCTGGCTTGCAGATAAATCAGGAAAGTTTTCGACATCCTCAGTATGGTGCTGGTGGGCTGCAGTTAAAGACCCGGGTGTGAAGGTGCCAGCTGGGGTGTGGGAGTGTATGGCATCTCCAAAGATGCAATTCTTCTGCTGGTTGGCTTGGAGAGGCAGAGTAAAGACTTCGTCATACCTACACAGGATTGGGGTCTTACCTGCCAATGCATTGCCCAAGTGTGTGTTCTGTCAAAGAGAGGAGGAGTCTTTGGAGCATGTGTTTTTGTTCTGCCCTCTGGTTTGGAACTGCTGGGCAGCAATGGTTAGTTGGTGGGATCAGTCTTGGGTAATCCCGGGCTCAGTGGAGGGTTTGCTAAACTGGTGGGCTGTGGGTAAAGGGAAGTCTTGGATAACTCGAGCTTGGCAGGCCATCCCCTCTCTCGTGTTCTGGTCGGTTTGGAAATTAAGGAACGAAAGTTTGTTTAAGGGTGTTGCACCAGACTTCGGAGGATTAAGTGAGAGAATGAAAGTTCAAATAGCTCTATGGGTAAAATGGTTTTTCAAGGTGGACTATTCAGTTCATGATCTGGTATCAAATCTGCACCAGATAAGACTGAATGCTGGAAGTATTCAAAGGCTGTAAGTGGCAGCAGGCTGGGTTGCAGGGTGTAGACAGGGTGTGGGCAGCTTGTTTTAAGAGTGTGGTTCAGATTCAGGCTGCACTGCTGTGTGCTGGGTTGCTCAGATTCAGGTTGCAGGATGTGGTTCAGGTTGCACTGCCGTGTGCTGGAACTCCTTTCTGTGGCTGCTTAATCTAAGATGCGCTGTGGAAGACAATTAAATACCCAAACAAAAAAGAGTTGCAATAACAACAACAATAACAAGACTTCATTTTAATTTGGAGCACATCAGATTTTGCTTGGGGAATGGTTCCTGGGGTGTTTCTTGATGCTTTGGACTGTGGATTGGATTCTGGAGCTTTTGATTCGTCATCAATTCTAGTATTCTGCTGATGTGTCTACATTGCTAAAGTGTTTGTTGTGCCCAGGTGCTGTATATGGTTTGGTTGTTGGTTTGAATTGGCTGTTGGTCTGAATGGTTTGGCTGTTGGACTGTGAATTGGTTGTTGTGCCCAGCTGAAGCTTGCACAGGCCTCATGTTGGTCTGCTGTTTGATGATCTGCAAGGATCTGGTTATTAAAAACTTCAAGGAGTGTTGTTCTAAGTTAGCAGAATGACTATAGGGCTGCAGTATGGGGATTGGCCTAGTTTCTCAGCTTTGGACTGTAATCTCCCTTAGCTGGAGTACTAGTTATCTGGTTTGGACTGCAGTTTCCCTTAGCTGATTGTCTGATTCTCTGGTTTTTGCTCTGAACTTGGTTTCTCTTTATTGATGTAATTCTTCTTATATTTCATCAATAAAGACTTCTTTTTGCCGATCAAAAAAAAAAAAAAAAAAAAACATTAAAACCTTGTTGGGCTCTTTGTCCTCCAAAGCCGCCCATAACAACACCTTCTACAACGACACATCCAATAACTTGAACGGCCTCTACCTATGCAGAGGCGATGTTGCCACTGATATGTGCCAGAAATGTGTGGAGGCTGCAAGTCAAGAAATCCAACAACCCTCTAGATGCCAATCTAATGATGGGGCAGTCATATGGTACGATGAGTGCATGTTACATTACTCTGTTGTTAACTTCTTTGGAAAAGCAGAACTAGATCCACAAGTTTGGATGTGGAATGTCGAAAATACTACTTCGCCCAATGATCCAAATGTTCAGGCGCTTAAAGTAATGTACAATCTGGTGGCAGAGGTTCGGACGGAGCCCATGATGTATGCGCATGGTGGTGGTACACAGGACGGGTATGGGATGGTGCAGTGTAGTAGAGATATAAGTGGTCAAGCTTGTAGTGCTAATTGTTTGGGGAATTTGATGGCAGTAGCCGAGAAATGTTGCCAAGGGCAAATAGGGTGGCGTATATTGGCACCCAGTTGCAATCTGAGGTATGAGAATTATTCTTTCCTTACACCGCCGGTGCCTCCACCCGTGCCTCCACCCGTGCCTACTACTACAAGCAAAGGTGAGTCGAAAGAATTGACCAGAGCGTGTTGATGAGCAAAATAAAATGTATATTTATAATATCTTCTGGTTAGATAATAGTGTTAGAGATGCTCTAAATTTTGGATGAAATTTGCCTAATTAAAAAACTTTGACTAAGTAGGATTCTGTAATTATTATTTGATTATGTTCCCATTTTACTCTCTTGTCCAAGTTAAGAATTTCTTGATATTATTTAGTTACAAGGCCAAGGGGAATTTACCGAATCAGTTTTACTTTTCTAAAATAATTACAAATTCATGAAAAAAACTTATGACTTTAATCGTTAAAGTGTGTAAAGTTTATCACTATTTTTCAAAAGTATCACTGATTTTTTTGTTATTTCCCCTAAGATCAATGTGTTAGCTCACTCAGTAACATTAATCTGCATACTTAACTGGCAGGAAATGTGGGAGAGAACACAACAAATATCCAACCTGTAACAGACGGAAACACAACAAAGATAGTACTTATCACTGTACCAATTAGTGCATTCCTGGTTGTTACCTTTGGTTTCTACTTTTACCGATTATTTGGCAGAAGAAGAGAAGCACGAGAAGGTTAGCCCTTAATCGTCATATCTTTTTTAGGGGCTAATTATATCAATTGGTGTCCAAAGTATTTAGTTCATAATCTTACAACAACAACAAATCAAATTGTTGGTAACCAAATGTAGCAAGTGTATACTATGGGGGATAATTTGTGCATTTAGTCCATTCTATTTTACTTTAATTTGAGCAAAATTTCATTTTAATCATCGTAATTTTAATTTGAATAATTTCAACCCTATACTTTTAATTTTGTTACAATATGATCTCTCTGACGCTTATCGTTAAAATTTTAAATAGAAATAAATCGCATGTAAAATTAAAGGGAGCTAAGAGAAATTCATAAGAAATTATAAGGATCACACTAGTTCCCTTTTAAATTTTACATTGGTCTCTCTAGTTTTGCATTTTAATCTTTTTCTGTTAAAAATGTTGACGCACATAATGGAGAAACAATATCATAACAAAACAAAAATTGTAGGGTCCAAATTTTTCAAATTGAAACTACAAAGACTAAAGTAATATTTTGCTTAAACTACAAGGATTAATGATATAATTTACCCACAAAATCATGTCTTTTTTATCTATACTATATACTAATATAATAAAGAATGATAAATTACACCATTGATCCTTCTAGTTTGAACGAAATTTTGCTTTGATTCTCAGAGTTTCAATTTTAACAATTTGGTCCTTACACTTTCAATTTTATTTCAACGTGGTCCCTCCCTCATCATTAAAATTTGGAACGGAAAAATATCAAGTGCAAAACTAGAGGAACTAAAGTAAAATTTAAAACAAATTATAAGGACCACCGGTGTAATAAAAAATTGAAACTACCAAAATTACAACAAAAATTGGAAGTATAAGAAACCACATTACAACAAAATTGAAAGTGTAAATATCAAATTGTTCAAATTGACACTTCCCTGCCCTAATAAAGAAAGATTAGGGGAAGCACCTTATTTTTATGAAATTGTGTCAAGCCAATTTTGGTGAATTAGCAGGTTAAATTCACTACAACTGATGGACGATAAATATGTAGTAAATCTTTCTTGGGTGATTTTTGGCTAGTTCAAGAGTACGATCACGTGATATTCTATGACAGTATGGTTGATGGAAAATGTGGAATATTGATTATTTGTGATGGGTGATTAAGGAAATGAGAGAACATAATAAATGATGATTGGTGAGAGAGTATGACCACGTGTTACTCCAAGACTATTGTATAATTTTCCTTCTTTCACATTCTTATAATTTAGGGTAAATTATATCGTTGGACTCTTTAGTGATTGAAATTTTATTTTAGTCCTTATAGTTGTAATTTGAACAATTTAAATCATATATTTTTAGTTTTATTGCAATATGATCCCTCTATAGAATGTTGAATGAAAAAATACCACATACAAAACTTGAAAAACTAAAATGACATTAAAAAAAAATTTATGGAATTAGTCGTGTAATTAAATAAGAATTAGTTGTATAATTAATAAGACTAAAATGCAACAAATTTGGAGGCATTGGTGTAATTAGTAGTGCTCTGTTCTTGGTGAAATTGATACCAATGCTAATTTTATATTTAATGCAGTTCTTCAAGGGATGAGCCAAGAAATTTTGTTAAACAATTTGGAATCTCAAACAAGGAAGCGATTCATGGTGAATGGGTTGGAAGTTCAGGATGAAGATTGAAAGATTTATGTATAAAGAAAGAGAAAGAATTGTAGATTTATGTATAAAGAAAGAGAAAGAATTGTGTATTGAAATGTTGTATTGAATGTTATTGATTGATATTACAAAGGTTCAGTTGAACTCCTCTATATAGGAGAGGAGCCGAAAGTTGCAATAATAAAATAAAGTAAAAGGAAAAGAAATATACCCTACTAACAGCTGATATACACTAACATAGAATAATATACTAACAAAGATGACAGCAGAGATATGCATTACTTCGACCTAACTACTTTACAGATTGCTACAAACAATTTCTCTGACACAAATAAGCTTGGACAAGGTGGTTTTGGTCCTGTCTACAAGGTAGAAAACATTTTTGCTCAACATTAATATAATCGATAAAATATACCCTATGATCCTTACAGTTTGCATAATCACGATCTTTGGCCTAATGGTTGTGTAGTATCACTTTGTGATATGAGATCTCATTACTTTGATCTTTTGAAATTTAATTTTGTTAATTTTATCCTTACAATTTTCAGTTCAAGTCATATTAGTCTAATTACAGTGTTCGTCCAGGTCACTAACGAAATTGTTAACATAATTACTTATTGTCTTTAAACTATGTGTAATGTGTCAATTTGTTTCTTCAAAGTTTTAATTTTGTCAATTTCATCTCTTAACATTGTAAATTAATATTTCTATCTTCCTATTAGTGTTTAAGGACCAAAGTGATAAATTTTTATTAATGAAAGTCACCCGAAATGTATAGTTTGGGGACTAAAGTATCTTCTTGTTTTTTATCATTCTGGTTACAATTGTTTTGAAAATGAGATAGATTGACTCAAATTAAAAACCAGGGTCGTGGTCCTTGTAATTCGTCTATTACGTCTATTTGGTTCATGGAGTTTCAATTATATCAATTTTGTCATTTAAATTTTTGAAAAAAATTTTGGTGGACACGGTTAGGTGGTGTCCCAAGTGTGTTTTGATTGTTGAAAAGAGTAGGGCTCGTGATTTTGTCTTGGATAATTGAAAAATAGTAGCGGGTATGGTGATTTGTTATTGGTCAGAAACATAACTACGTGGTGTCCCTATGCCACGATATAATTTTTCTTTAATTTTCACATTATGTCGATTTAATCTAATTGATAACAATCATTAAGAAATTAGATAGAAGTGAATAGCAAAATATTTAAAAATTAATGAATCATTTCAAATTGGACACTAAGCCCTCAATCATTTTCAGGATAGTGAGTAGATTGTTTTATTACCTCTTAATTTCATCTAATTTTTAAAGGAGTGTCATCAATTAGACTAAATTAACACAACAAAAATATAAAAATAAAAATAAAAATAAAATTCAAGAATAATTTTTATTTTTTTTTAAGATTTGACTCATGTAAAAAAGAAACTCCCGAAGTGTGAGAGAATGCCTCAGTTACTATACGGAAAATAAGGCCCACATGTAGGTGGAGGAGATTTGAACTAACCTCCTAGTGAGGTGCAGGCGTTCTAGCCAATCGGACTAATCCCGTTGGTTAATCAAGGATAAAATTGATACAATTAGAATTAGAGTGATCAAATTAACACAAGAAGCAAATTAAAGGTATTATGTGTGTTATACCCAACACATACCTTAGGAACCGTAATAAACATATTTTATGTCTGGTTGAAATTTTGTTTGAAATGCATTATTATTCAGGGAAAGCTTCATGATGGGAAAGAAATAGCTGTTAAAAGATTATCAAGCAACTCTGGGCAAGGTCTTGAAGAGTTCAGGACTGAAGTCAAGTTGATAGTAAAACTTCAACACAGAAATCTTGTGAGGCTCTTAGGTTGCTGCATTAAGAAAGATGAAAAGCTTCTGGTCTATGAGTATATGGCCAACACTAGTCTTGATGCCTTCCTCTTTGGTTTGTGCTTTCTCTATGGCTGTTTGATGCAACTTATTTGAGCTGTTTATGGCTTCTTTTTTTTTGATTCTGCTTACTGTTTATTAGAAAGAAATAGCTTAAATCTAAGAAGCATGGACACGGACACGTGACACGACACAAATACGACACAGACACGCCGACACGTTAATTTTAAAAAAATGCAGGACACGACACGTGGAGGACACGCATGAAATATATAATTTTATATATTTATTATATGTTATATATATGAATATATCATTCAAAGATAATAAAAAATGCAATATAGTACTAATTCCTATAAATTTATATGGTTTTTGTTTTATTATTGTATCTTAAGTTGTTTTGTTCAAACTTGTAATTAGTTTCACATATGTATAATCAATAGACACATGTGTTTAAATAATTGACACGTGTGTCCTCCAAGTGTCCAAAGAGTGTCCGGGTCTTTAAAAATATTTAAAAAATAGAACATGTTTTGAAAAGTATCGGACACGTGTCCTAAGAGTGTCCAAAGAGTGTCGGTGTCTGACACGGACACTACAGGGATACGTCACCTTCTTAGAAGTGTCCGTGCTTCTTAGGCTTAAATAAACTGGAAAAAAAAAATTAATTATCTAAAAGTTGAGAGAGGGGAACTTTTGGATTATCAGCTTTAACTTAGAATAAGTTGCGCCAAATAGCACCAATCTCTCTCCTTCTCTTAATGAATTTAGAAAGACAACTTTACATTACAATTTGTCATTTTGGTCTAATTCCAAAATGTAATCAACAGATGCTATCATTTACCTCTTCTCTTCTCTTTCTTTTTTTTTTCTTTTTCCTTTTTTGTCAGATTCTACAAAATGTAAGGAATTAGACTGGGCTAAGCGAGAAAATATAGTCACTGGAATAGCGAAGGGACTTTTGTATCTGCACGAGGACTCTCGGCTCAAAATCATCCATAGAGACATGAAAGCAAGCAATGTTTTATTGGATGATGAGATGAACCCAAAGATATCAGACTTTGGCACTGCCAGGATTTCTTATGGTAACCAAATTGAAGCTAGCACCAACAGAATTGTGGGTACATAGTAAGTCATTTCTTCCTTGAAGTTTATCCATTTTTAGAAAGAAAAAAATATATATATCTATCTCATGGGAAATTGTAGATTTTAAAAATTATCTATGTACCTAGAAAGTGTCCAAAATTTGAGGTGTGGTGTAGATTTAAACTTTGTCTAATGTAGGACATACCATAACAAATCTGATCTACACATTTCAAATTTTAAACACTTTTATACATTGGCAACTTCGAATTTGCATCAAACCTCAAAACCTAAAGATGCGGAAGCACGGCCATGTGTGTGACTTGGTTTATTTACTTCAAAAATTGTTATATTATTTTTGTGTGTGATGAAATTTCTCTCAAAGGTGTTGTTATCTAAAGTATGCAGAATTGTCTAAGTTTCTTTAAAATATCATACATATATATATATATATATATGCATATTTTCAAGTTCATGATGTCAATTAATGTCACCATATTAAATGTACATGTAGCACCGCCCATGTCGAGGTCAATCTATACATAATATTTCATTCCATGTAATATCTAGAGTAATTTTGCTTTCATCATTTTTCATCTCTAATTCAATATTTTGCTTTTGACAGCGGATACATGGCACCAGAGTATGCAATGGAGGGAATATTTTCAGTAAAATCTGATGTCTACAGCTTTGGAGTTCTAATTTTAGAAATTATAAGTGGCAGAAGAAACAGTGCTAGCTTCAATCTCCCAGCACGAACCCAAGGCTTTTTACAAAATGTATGTAGGTCATTTCATCTAATTGTTGAACTTCGGTAAGATCAAAATTTCTATTTTTTGTTCCAAATTTTTAAACTCAATTGGATATGATTCCAAACAGGCATGGCAACTATGGAATGATGGCAAAGCACAAGAGTTGATAGATAGAAACTTGATCGGCAGTTGTCCTGTACAAAAGGTTGCCATATGGATTAACATCGCATTGTTGTGCGTTCAAGAAAACCCTGATGATCGGCCCTCGATGTCAAAAGTTGCTTTCATGCTTGGAGGCCAATCAACAGAGATTGCCAAGCCATCTGAACCTCCATTCTCTGTTGGTAGATACCCCGTGTCCGATCAATGGTCATCTACCGGGGAAGGAACAGAACCTGCAAGTATATCACTTACACTCCCCCGAGAATAGACTTGGACGGATGAAGACTTAATCCATCCAATTCAAAACCAATTGGCAATGTGTGGAGGGGCTTTTGAAGGATATTAACCAAGCTTTGAACACACGTAATGTTTATATCCATCACAGAGATTACCATTTTGTTAATTAGAAATTTTGCTAACTAGGTGTGTATCTATCATATGAAAATTGAAATGTGGAATGTGGCATATGTGAGTTAATTACCTTTTTTTTTGTTTCCATTAATTGATGAGTATACTAATTTAACTTGTACCTTCTGTCTCAGACACTAGTTCTAACTTCTTTCATGTTAAATGTCAGAGTCTCCGTGTATTTTTACCAATGTCAAAGAAGGTATAAATATTTTTACCCTTTCCTTCCTGCATAAGGGTTATAGCTTACTGTGCTTCCCATAATTTGCTTGTAAATGAAGAGTGGCAAACTACCTCTGCTTTCAAATGTAATTTTCTATTCAGCTGTGATTGTTGTACTCTTCTTATGAATAGAGTTAGATTTTACATACAGAAATATGGAAAGGAAGACCAAGTGGCCTATTCGGATCACATGATGCCCAAATGATAAATTTAGTGTTTAGGCTAATATTGGCGGATTAACTCTGCCACGTTCGACTGGAAATGGCACAACAGTCAAAGTACACTGCTTTGCCTTGATCCAAGGCACTTTTCTTGGAGGGGATGAATTTTATCGTTTAGATCCTTAATTTTGCAATTTTGTCATTTTAAAAAATTTTGTTTTGTAATTATGTTGTCTAAAAAAATTTTGTTTTCATTGTCATTGTTTTAGCATGCTTCCTAATATCTTTAGCATCTAAATTTAAGTTCAAATTCGCTATTTTTTATAATTTTTATATTTTATTTTATTTTTAGCTTTGGTTAGCAAGGAATTGCCCTATGCGGATGTTTCCCGCATAGGATTGCTCTACTATTTTAACGAGTCTTACAACTTTATTCGGTTTTGAGTTTATTAGTATTTTATTTTTTAAATCTCTAAATTATCATTGTTTGTGTTTGTTCATGTTACTTGGTTCATCATCCAGTACACATATCTTAGACAACATTAAATTTATACATGTATGCAATGTGGGTTTTGAGTTTTGAATTGTTGAATGTGGGTTTTGTGATCTCTGATTTATACATGTATGCAATGTGATTTTTTACAATATTCGTCATCTACTTTTTGTGGGTTCCTTGTGTTGGGGTTAAATTTTTAATTGGTAAGGGAACCGCTCCACACAATCCGAGATCCTATCAATCAAATCTCCCAAAGAAATGCATTGTGAATCTCACCTTTTCAGCATAAGAGAACCAAAAGAGACCCCACTAAAATCAAGGGTGTAACTATATGTTAGGTTTTTATTATTGACAACCCTGTTTGACAAAATTTCTTTCAGTTGTATTTATTTTCGCACTTTTATTTCAGTAAGGTTATGAGTTTATTAGATGCGAATCCAACCCGAATTGTGCCGTTCAGAGAAGTTTGTGATGTTAATGCTTTCAAGATTGCCACTTCGCTGATTATGACGGGGTCGAGCTGCCCGGTCAGCTCGCGGCCAAAGCAAATTGCATTCAAAATTACATGTCCGCCCATGTTCGCTCGAGCCAAGGAATGCTCACTCGAGCGAAGTTAGCTCGAGCCAAGGAGTGCTCACTCGAGCTAAGGATTGTGTCCATACAAAAACCTGAAAGAGTGGTGTGCTCGCTCGAGCCAATGATTCGTCGCTCGAGCCAAGGCACTAGTGGAAATCACGCGAGTTAAGGTTCTCGCTCGAGTGAGAGAAGCTTCGCTCGAGCGAGCGTCAAAATCCGGAATTCTATAAGGAATTGGTTTTCTTCCAAAACTAGGATTACTTTGGATTTCTATAAACAGTTGGTTTTCTCCCAAAACTTTACTAACTCCTCCAGATTTTCTTTTTGGATTCTAAGGTTTATATCTGGGGACATTTTGCTACTTTACTTTGATGTTTTGATTGAGTATTCAAGTCATGGTTTTAGAAGTTTACATCAAAGGATTGTTTGTTTAATTCTATACAAAAGAGAGAGAGTTGTTCTTCGGTGGATTCTGAAGAATTCGAGCCTGAAGCTTTAGTGGATTCCGGATTGGCTCATCGTCAAGACAATTCCAAGGTGAAGACGGGGTTGGAAGAGACACATAGAAGTTGGTTCAATTCGGGCGTGGATTTGCTAGGTAATTGAGAGTATACCTGTATAATTCCTTTATATCTTCTTAGTGGATTGTTTTGTGGCTGTTGTCCGTGGTTTTTTATCACAATTGGAGGTGTCCAATTGTGGTTTTTCCACGTTAAAATTGTTGTGTCGATTTGTCTTGATTGTTTGATTGGGATTGTTTTATTCCTTAAAATTGATACATAATCACAAATCAACATCTAGAAGATTTCTAAATTTTTCACTATAAACTCAATATCAATAAATATATCAAATCTACCATACCAAAATCAATGGAACTAAATGATCTATAAAAAAATCTTTGGGACTAAAGGTGTTTTGGGAATGGCATTTTTTTATGGGGTTTTTTTTTTTTTTGGTTCATTTTCATTTTTAGTAAACTTCTTTTAAAAATTTTTAAAAAGTTTTAAGTTTCTAATTTCAGCTCGATAAGATGAATCGAAAAATTATAATTTTAAAAAAAAAATCCAAAAAGAAAATTCAGAAAAGACAAAAATAAGTCAAAATAAGCAAAAATTTTAGCTTCTTTTCGTCTTTCGTGATTTTTTTTTTTTTTGAATTTTTCAAAAAAAATATACTTGTTAGATTTGTCTCAATAAGGCTGACTAGAAAAGTAAAAAATTTTGACATAATTTTGAAAAAAATACTAAAAACAAAAAAATTTGAAACAAAAAATGGGCCTAAATAAATCACTATTCCTCAAAATAAGATTTATGAAGGGGTGGAGGCACGTGACGCTCTCAACTTTTGGAAACATTATACTTATATCTATAACAAAAAATATATTTTTTAATTGGGGAAATTACCCACAGGTCCCATGTGGAACATGTGGACACCATTTAATCCCATAACTTTTTGAGTACATCCAAAAGTCCTTTCCTCTCTCTCTGTTTTTTGCTTCCCTTCCTCTCTCGTTTTTTTTTTCTGCATTTTTCTCTCATCGTCTTTGTCATGGACGACGACCGGTGATCATGTCTTTCTCCATTGATCGGGGTTCACTGATAACCGCCAACCATCAAAATCAACTCGTGACTTCACTCTCACCGACGACGAAGATAAATATTTCTGACGAAGAAGATGTATTTCCGACGAAGAAGATGAGTGGATGTACTTAGATCTGATGTAGATCTACTAAGATCTACATCAGATCTGAGTAGATCTACATCAGATTTGGCTAGATCTAAACAAAAAATAGTTGCCGGAGTACAATCCTCTCTCTACATGCGCCTTTCTCCTTCGATCTCTTTTTTTTTTTTTCTCTGCTATACACTTCTGTTTTTCTGTTCTAATGGAGAAAATTTTCGAATTCTGAACAAGTAGTTTTCAAGTTTTAGTTACAGGCAGTGAAAACTGTAAAATTTTGCAGTTTCAAATTTTTTTAGTGCTGGAATGAATCATGGTATAAAACTATAAAATTTTACAGTTTCATAACATATTTTTCAGTTTGATTAATAAGGATAAATGCTTAATAGATTTTTGTTTTGAAACTGTAACATTTTACAGTTTCAAAACTTACTTTTCAGTTTGATCACTATTTAGAGATTATTTGCTTGAACCTTACAAAAATTGAAAAATAACATATGTTTTCCCCATTGTTGCTGTTTTTTGTCGTTTCATTTTTTTTCCTTTTAGTTTATCAATATTTAGCACATTTTGCTATGTTTTGTTTGCTATAATTTATCCATTTATTCTCTTTTTTTTCCGGCAATATTCTAGACATTTTGGTGAGTCTCCAGTGATGTTCTTAATGTCCAGTGAACGTTCTGAACATTCCGGCGACTTCCATTAACGTTCTTAACACTCCGGCGAACTTCCGGCGAAACTCCGGCGACTTCCCGGCGATGTTGAACATTCCGACGAGTCTCCGGCGACTGTTTGACGGAAGTCCTACGGTAGTAAGATGTGAACAGTGTCTGTAAATTAAAAAAAAAAAAAGAATTTTTTGGTAACAATTAAAAATGTATTGGGCTAACTGGTGCAAGTATTCTGTTTTGGGATTAGCTAGGTTTTGAACTTGGTACATGGGACTTATCAGTAAGTTCCCCTTTTTAATTTAATCCTTTTAAGCCATGTCTTGAAATTTTATGTCACTATTTTCTTTAGAAAAATATGTTTAATTTGTCACTTTAAATATTTAATCATTCTAACAAATATTCTTATAAATTTTATATTAGAGAAATTTTATATGCCACGTATTTTTTGTCACTATTTTATACCACGTTTTATATGAATACTTGTAGTTGGTTCATTTATTTCAAGATAATTATTACACGATTAATGACAATTACTAATATATTACCATTTAATTAAGTAATTGAAAGTGGCAAAAAAAAAATTAAAAAAAGTGATATATAACAATCCCTCTGTATTGTTTATTCACATTTCTCTCATTTCTTTCTCTATCCCTCGCTATATTAGTTTTTTTTTTTTTTTTTGTGTGTGTATCTCAACATAATTTTTCTCCCATATTTTATGAAGGCATATGATTATTTTTTAAACCTTGATGATCAACATACATAAAATTAAATTAATAACAATAAAGACAATAATCAATTAATTGGAATTCATATTTAAATATATCTTTTGCAATTGTATTAATTGTTAGTCTCACCATCAAATAAAAATTAAGTTAAATTAGATTATAATTTTTGTTAAGATTTCAATTGAATAGTTCCCATTCTAAGTCAAAATCCTAATTCCACCACTAAATTTATGGGTAAATTTTTCTTGAGAAAATTGGTGATAAATCCAATTTAGAAAATATCTAAGACATTAGGTCTAGTATATTTTTTTTATTTGTAAGAGTCCACCATTTGTGAAATAATTTGGTGAGTGTAATGACCCAAATTATTTATTTTTTTTAAATAGACAGTACATAATTTAATTGAGCAAATTTTCTGATTTGACTGGTATGTAAATTCTATGCGAAAGCACGTCAGTTTTGTATTTTTTTTAAATAGTTTCCGATATCAGAAAATTATGAAATTTTTATATATTATTCACATACGAGTCTAGCACGTTGGATAAAAATTTCAGAATTTATTAATAATTATTTATTTTATGAAAATTCGTGGACTGATCGGTGTTCGGTCTAGTGTACAACAGAATTTGAAATTGAGTTTTGGGTGTTTGGACCATGATTTGAGATAAATTAGTTGGGTTTATTTTGGTATATAATTGGACCATGTTTGATTTATGGGTGAGACCTATGATTTAGATTTAATTTAATTTGAATTTGTTTATGACTCATGTTTAACTGTTTGGTCCTTTTTAATT